GAAGGCAATGACGCAACTCTATATGCATTGGCGGCAGTCTCCTTCAGAATTCTTTTTTGTTCATGTAAAACCCAAGAGAATATTAAGCATATTATGTCCTTTATGGTTCTAAAGGGGGCAATAGGTCGTGGAGGGGAAAAAGCCCGGCCGACGTTGCAAGCGGTTTGGAACCTGCTGCCTGAGCAGCAGATGACCATTCAACTTGACATGCCCAAAGGGTCCAAGTACCCAAATCCTTTATACTTTGGCCCCAAAGTACCTATATAGGGATTACCCCAAAGCCAAAGTATATGCTATTTGGGTACTTGGACCCTTCGAGATGAAGAAGACTGCGGTTGTGGTCAAGGCAAAGCGCAGCGGTGGAGGCCAACAGTTTGCCGTTGCTTTGCTTCTAAATGGGAGTTTCCGAAAATAGGGGACCTTAATATAGAACCCTAAACAGTAGGATCCTTATTATAAGGACCGCCAAAATGAGGTACCCCTATTTTCGGAAACTCCCAAACGCCTGCTCTGGACACTTCCAGCAGGGCGGACGGCGAATCCAAGTTGACTGGTACCAGCAAACTTGGCCCTTAGAAATAGTTTTTAATTCTTGGTGATTATAATCCCTAAGAAACAGCTAAAATTACAATTTTTGCTAGGGTTCTAAGTTCAGTCTAGGTTATAAGTCCCCTTAATAGGAGTTATAAGTATAGTTGCCCTAATTGTATCTACAGAGCAATTATGATGCCAACTCAGAGGTCTGCCTGCTCGCAGCATGCTCGGAAAACTAAGACGAATTTCCATTAGGGTCCAAGTAGAGGTTACTAGCCATTGATATTGGAGGAGCTAAGGAGCCAGGGGTGACGATAATCCCTACTTAATAAGGAGCTAAAGGCCCAAGGGAACCCCAAAACCATTGGTTAGGTTATGTCATACCTGTAGGGAACCCTGCCAGCATCTTTTCAGCAGGGTCGGGTTGTCAGTTCGTAACTTCAAGCAGTGCTTGGGCAGCGTCGTTGATAAAGTTCCAAGCTTGTAGTCTTGCTTTAAGGTTCAAAGGACGCACTTCCCACAGGCTGGGATGCCTTTGTGCAGCTGCTAACACAGCGCTTCTGCAGATTTCCCGCAGCCCATCCTCATGCCCCTAAAACACAAGTAGGAATGCTTTACAGCAGCAGCCCCCCCTTATAGTCCCGTGTACATACGCTGGAATATACCTCGAACCCAATCCTAGGTATAAAGGCCCTTGGTGTTACAGATTTCTACTGGCCTGTGCATGCATAGGCGGAGGAGTCGATCCGCGAAGCGGTGGAGATTTTCAAAGACCTGGGAGCAGAGAAGGCCTCGGCTACCTCCCCTCCTTTAAACCGCACAGCTGCGGGTTCAGGGCTTATAAGTTAAGCTTTGTACAGGTTCACAGGATATTAACAAGGGTTTGGGGTTTCGGGCTTGGGGGGTTTAGGGTTTAGGGCTTAGTTTACCTACAGTTTCCATTGGGTTCAGGGTTCCAAGGTCAACCGCCCTGTCACAGGATCGCGCGAATGCCTTGACCATGCTGGCAGTCGCGACCCAAGCAGGGAAGAAGACAGTTCTGTGCTGAAGAGAGCTTAAGCAAAAGGCTTTAACTAGCTGGTGAGGTTTGGGGCTGTTTGGTCATTTTAACTCGGCAAGGCAACCAAGCCAACTGTGCACTCTCAGCCGCCGCAGTATTTGCAACCTGCAAGCTTGAGATCTGCTGGTATTCTCGTTTCAGCTCTCATCCCCAAAATATCTTCATCGCATGCTGCGTTCCTTCTGTGCTTGTTATTTGATTGCTCCCCCGACGGCACAGATTCCGTTCCTGCGACCTTTGCTTATCACAATGTAAAGCCAGTCTTTCCTCGCCCCCCACAACACCCGATCCCACCCAGATCGGGAAAGACCAAGGCGAGAAACAGGGCGCTTACCCTTTTAACCTCCCGGCCGACCTACTCATTCCTCAGCCCTGAAGCAAGTGGCCAAGGAGCTTCATCTTGCCAAGAACGAGGATGTCGACGCCCTGAAGTGCGCCCAGGATGCTCCTGCTCCACTGCAGCTTAGGGTTGAGGTCAGCTGTGCGGTTTCCGATCCGATATCAAAACTCTGCGAGCAACTTCTGACAACATCGAGAAACCGCCTATCGATCTAAACCCTCGACCCTATAGTTAACCTTATAGAAGCCCTAAGCCCGAGTGCCAATATGTATGTTTGAATCACGAAAAGGCACAGCAATCTGGAGAACAAAAAGAACGCCACCTGCACCCAAACCCTAAACCTTAAACCGTAAACCCCTAGACTCTAAACCCTAAACCTTAAACCGTAAACCCCTAGACTCTAAACCCTAAACCTTAAAGCCTAAACCCCTAGACTCTAAACCCTAAACCTTAAAGCCTAAACCCCTAGACTCGCAACCCTAAACCTTAAAGCCTAAACCCCTAGACTCGCAACCCTAAACCTTAAAGCCTAAACCCCTAGACTCGCAACCCTAAACCTTAAAGCCTAAACCCCTAGACTCGCAACCCTAAACCCTACATCTGCAGGACGCAGAACAAGGCCACCGCAAGGTCGGCAACACGCGTGGACAAGCCATGGAGTCTCGGATGCATCCCTTTTTCCCAAAGGCTCCAAGCACCCAAATAGTATATTATGCTTCGGCCCCAAATTTCAAAGCACCTAGAGTCTCTAGAGAGGGACTTCTTAAAAAGCCAGAGTATATACTAGCTTGGCACTTGGACCCTTATAGCGTTTAGGCAACGAAAAGGAAACCCAACAGTCTTCAAGGGGTTAAAGGTTTAGGGTTTAGGGTTTAGGGTTTAGGGGCTACTGGTAGGGGGTTTAAGGGCTTGGGGGTTTGGGGGGTTTAGAAGTTCAGGTGTTCAGGGGGGGCTTAAGGGGTCTAGGAGTTTGGGGTTTGGAGGTCTAGGAGTTCGGGTCGTGAGGTTGTTCCCTCAACGCTTTACTGCATACCCTTACCCATAGGGTCCAAAGTACCTATATGGTAGAATGTAGGGTTTCTATATTAGGAATTACTATTATGATTTGGGGAAGTATTCCCCATAACAGTACCTAGGACCCTGTGGGTTATGGCAACCCCAGAACACGCAAACCCCGAGCCGACATGGCCCTATGGACGCAAAGTCCAACAGCCTGTGATCGTCAGGCTCTAAGCATCCTACCTATAGTCTCCATTGTAGTTCCTTGTTTTGGTTTAACCAAATATATATGAAGGATCCCATAAGGTAACCCCAAAAAAGAACTACAATGGAGACTATAGGTTGACCCTGGGAACTGTAAGCACGCTCCCTCCTAAACCCCTGTTAAGACCAAGCAACCTAAACTCTAAAGCCCTGCTAAATCTTAAGACCTATAACCCTTGAAGTACCCTAAACCCTATAAGTTCCCTACACCCAAACCCCGAGTAATTACCCTAAAACCCTAAACGCCGCAAGGCGTACCTGAGCGCGGGGGAGGTCCATCAGTGCTGCCGGGCCCTCAGGGCTTTCGGGCTTTTTCGGTAGAGTGCAGCTTACCTATAGTCTCCATTGTAGTTCTTTTTTGGGGGGTACCTTGTAGGATTCTAATATATAATTGGCTAAACCAATAAAAGGAACTACAATGGAGACGATAGGTAGGGTTCAGTTTTTAGATCTTCGAAGGTTTTGGGTTTCGGGTGCAACTTAGGGTTCAGAGGTTTAGAGTTTTCAGGGTTTAGAGTGTAGGGTTTAAGGCGCAACTTTGGGTTCAGGGTGGTTCTAGGGCTCAGCCGCGCGGACTCGGAGGTCCAGAAGCCCAGAGCATCCAACATAACATATCAGAAATAAAGAGCTTGAATTCGGCAGCCTAAGCTTATGCAAGTGATAAGAGATTGTGTTTATTCAGGGCTTTTTGCCCTGCAAAACAGCTTGGACCATGCAGGAAAGCAGGTAGTTAAGCAACAATCACGCATATTCAACAGAAGTGTTTCAAAACAGAGTTTGTTCTTTGAGATCCATGCGCATGTGTGATGACTTACGCACTAGCTTGTGTTTTGTAGCACTGCAGCATGCGGCTTATTTCTTGCATGTGAAGGCATGCATCAGCGATTGGCACTCCTGACATCCAGTGCAGCATGCACGCCTGCATGCAGGCTCAATCACGATGCCCAGCCCCGGCCGTAGAAGGAACACTGCCGAGCCGGCAGATATTGCGCACGTCTAGAAGGATGCTTTTCCAGAGCGGCTGCAGAAGGGCGCTGAGTTCGCCAGGCGTTATCGACGAGTTCGTGGTCAACCACGAACTATTTTTGACGGGGCTTCTCTAGGCAACTCATAGAAGAGGCATTCAATCAGGCTTTTCAGGGTTGTGATGCAGGAGTCGTGCAGACTTTTGCGGAGAGGTGCGTGAGTGCATCCCAGTTTGAGCGGCGAAGAGCCAACAGATGAGCTCTCACAAGAAACTCAGCACTGATTTCCATGTTAAGGGATTCGAATCTACAGTCTAGGATTCCGGGGAGAGAGGGGGTACACAATTTAGGGCAAGGGCTCGATAGTGCGAGCCTGAAGGGAGAGGAGACAAGCTCCCAAAAGATCTTCTAGACAGAACTCGGGCGTTCGGCAGTGCAAGCTCGCTCCAGCGCCCAAAGCACTGAGCCAGAGAAGTCACCGTCACAAAACTTGAACCCCCTAGCCGCTGGTAGTTTCCAAAAATTGGGGGTACCTTAGTTGGGGTCCTTATAATAAGAATCCTATACTATATTTAGGGTACTATATTAGGGTCCCTAGCCCTAGTCGCAAAACCCTAAACGCTGAACCCTGTCGTGCGACCCTGGAGCCCAAACCATCCCAACCCTAAGATAGGGGCCTAAACATATTGCCCAATACTATGTGGGGGGATTCCTTATTACAAGTATAGCATAAGTATAATATACCCCCAAAACCTGTTCTAGTTATTGAGGCCGCCAAATTCAGCCCTAAGATTGAAGTCTACATGTCCCGACCACGCTCGGCGGGTGTCACCCCCAGGCGGTCGCGTCCAGGAGGCCGAAACCGCTTTCAACGAGTCTTTGGCCATGTGTCGCGAAGGCACGCACGGTTCGCAGCGTTGAGAGGGTTTAGAGCTTGTAGGGTTTCGGATTCAGCGCTTCCTTCTTGCAGTTCAACTAGAGTCTGGGATAATTTTTGAAGGACATACTGCGCTTAAGACAAACTCCTGCACTACTCATGTTTGCCTGCTTAGGCTGGCACGACCATAGTCTTGCTGTTGGGGGCTTAGGTTCTGGGGTGGTTGGGGAGTTTGGGGTTTTGGGGGCTTAGGGCTCGAGGTTTAGGACTAGGAGCGTTTTAGAGTTAAGGGTTCAGAGCTTTTGGGGTTAGCAGTTGGGCTTACGGGATGGTTTTTGTGATATCATGGGCTTTCGGTTTTGGGGCAGCGGAGGTGCTCGTCGAAACATCGGTAGGCATTTATTGTCTGCGGCTTCTGCTAGTGCAGGAGTTAGTCGTGGCGCCGTGTTGGAAATGGTGCAAAAAAATGAAGCTGCCATGCTGTGTACCACAACAGGGCGAACACTAAACGAGCAACGCCTCATTCGTGAATTCCTGTTCCGCCACTTGGTTTTCAAAGGAAGCGACTCCGAATTCCGTTCAGATTCTGAAGCCTGAAACCAGGAAGATCCAGACCCAGAGCCTATAAACCCTAGAATCTAGGTAGGCCTTTGGGATGTTTTATATTTCCCCTTATTGGGCTTCATAGGACCCTATTTACGAATATTTTTCAGAGGCTTTCAAGGGCCAACCTAGTAGAAGCAACCCCTCCTCAAGAACCCGAAAAGTCGAAGCCAAGATGCTAAGCACTACAAGCCCAAAGCCCTAAAGCTCTGAAGCCTAGCACCGGATGCCTTGGAACCCTTCACCCTATATCTGGCCGGGACCCCACGACTCCTCCAGACCGTAATCCCTAGAAGACTTCACCGCAATAGGCGGAGACCGAAAAGGTGAAGCTGACTCGCTGACGGCCCTGTCAAAGCTCTACGGGGTGCCACGGGGAAGGTTTTGGGATTTTGAAGGGGCATAGACTTAGAGTTTCATGTCGGATTTTACAGTTTTACAGCTTCTCTACGTTTTTGTAAGTTATAAAAGATTATAGGGTGTGACGAGGGTTCATAGGGTTCCGGTAAAGTGTGTGTAGGATTGCGCATGGGTTGTGGGATACTGTAAGAAGTGTTTGCCATTTGGTCTTGAGTTTGTGCTCAACAGACGGGTCGATTCACTTAACTATGATCTTGCAGCCAATCAGCGTTCCATAACCTGAGTGACAGCACGCCGACAAGGTGGAATTTAACTCTCATTGATTGAGAAAGGTAGGAAAGCATGGAGCACAGACGGTTAGTTACTGCCTTGTGAAACTGTAGTATAACCGTAGTACAGTAATGAGTAACGCATCAGAGAGTCAGCTTGGGTTCTGTGGAATAGGGGGTGTGCCTCGCAGGAAAGCGGGCAGGGCATCAAAGCGGCGGAGGCGAGGTTGGTGCATGTAGAGTCGAGGCTTTATGGAGATTTCAAAAGGATGACTACAATGGTCATTCCGCAGGTTGCCGCGAGAGTTTAGTGAGGGTCTATGGGGTTTAATTAGGGTTTGGGGGTTTACATCAGAATCAAGAGCTCGTAGAGCTCATGTCAGCGGCCTCACAGGGGTTTAGAGGATTCAGTGGGATTAGGGGTGTTATTTTCAGAAAACAGGGTTGTGCTGAGTTTCCTAGGTTTATAGAACCAGAATTCACTCACTTACGGTCCGCATGTCTTGGAACTTGCTTGACTGTGCATGAGTTAATTGTTACGTTCGGTCTTCTGGTTTCGCAGTTCGGTGCAGAGTTCAGGTTTGAACGAAAATGCGTGTATGCAGTTGGCACGCCACAGCGGGTGGTGTCTTTGTTGGAGCATCAATGGCAGAACCATGCGCGATGGCTTGAGTACCGCAACCATGTCCACCCCACTCCGATCGTGGGGGCTCTTGGCTTTCCCCAGGGGGACCCGTTTATTCCCATTTGTCTGGCTCTGTTGCTTAGCTTGCCCAACCGAGCAGTGAAGCCAGCTGCGCCGGAAACGCAAACTTTCTTGTACCTTGAAGACCGCACTATCCTTAGCCCTGAGTGAGTCGTCTGAGAATTCTCTCTGGAGAGACCCAGGTGCTTGACAGGACTTGTCAGAGCTCGGGAGCTGCTCCAGGTGTTTCTGTGACGCGCCCAGAGAACCGAGCGGTGAAAGGAGACGAGCAGGCTGCGGCGGTGGCCCCCGGGGTGCAGCACCTTCCCGTCTCTGCAGCTTTTCGTAAGAGCCTCACTGAGCCTCACTACCATGTTCTTTGCTTCCCGTAACTTTGGGTGTCATTCCTTAATGGCGAGACCACGACCTTCGCCAAGGTTAAGGGTGCCTGTTAAGGGCTACGACCTCTCCAATGGAGACTAATTCTATAAGGTGCGCGGTTTAGAGCATCTAGTTCCGAAATCAGGGAAGTAGTCGGCAACCACCCAAGCCGTTTAGCCCGTAAAACCCTGAGCATGCAGCGATTGGGATTTACACGCCACGCATTTCCGGCAAAGAACACTATATCGCTGTGTGTGCGTGTGTGACACTCCCAACCGCCAGGTGTAGCTTGTTGGGCTTTCTGTTTGGGGTTTGGGGTTAAGCCTGCGTAAAACCACTATGTCACTATTATTACGGCCGCTATACTCAACCCCGAAACGAACCCTTTGTCAGAGAGCCTTATTCTAGTCATTAAGGCCTCAATATGCAACCGTGGCAGCAACCCCAATTAATGGACGCCTTGAATCCTTGAATGGGAACCCCAAAAGGAACCCGTTGTACATTATATATTGAGGCCCCTAAACCCGAAACCCCAGACCCTAAACCCAAAACCCCTAAACCCCTTAACTCCAAACCCCTAAACCCCGAAACCCCAACCCTAAACCCCCAAACCCTTAAACCCCTACTGTGAACCCCTAAACCCCCAAACCCTAAACCCCCAAACCCTAAACCCCAAAACCCTCAAACCCCTACTGTAAACCCCTAAACTGCCAAACCCTAAACCCTCAAACCCTAAACCCAAAAACCCCAAACCCCTAAACCCTCCGAAGCAAGCAGCGCTGTGAGGCTGCTGATTCGGCGCTTCTCCTCCATCGCGAGTTGGGCCGAAAGCCGGGGGGCCTTCAGGGTTTCGAGATTCCTTCAAAGGGTTTGTACAAGGGGGCTCCTTTAAAGGGTTACTATAAAGGGGTTCAAACTGAGGGTCAGTGTAAGTTTGGAGTTTGAGGTTTAAGGTTTAGGGGTTTGAGATTTAAGGTTTAGGGTTTGGGGCTTAGGGTTTCAGGGTAGTTTGAGGTTTAGGGTTGGAGGTTTAGGGTTCTTGGGTTTGTTCAGGGTATAGGGTCTGTTGCACGGACAAGTGCTCATGAGATGGGCTTTACAGAGGGATTTCGTGCTTCGGTTTGGGGTCCTAGTGTTTGGTCTTTAGTGGTTGCGCCCTAGAGCTAGAACACTTGAAGACAGCTTGCTATAGGGGCCTGAATCCTCACCAATACTATTTTTGGGGTTTCTTATTAATATAGTTATAGTATAATGGACCCCAAATCCCTATTCCAACTATTAAGCCCCTACATTACTGATCTTAACTTTTTGAGCAGTAGATTTTGGCTGCAAGTACCAGCTCGCTGAGACCTTCTGATGGCTCCGGAATGCGAAACCCTCCGAAACCCTAAGCCCTACACCCTAAATCCCCATCTTCAGGTTCTATATGAATCCCACAGCAGTCCTTATAGTAGCCCCAAGCTCCACTACACCCCAAGTCAAGCCGGGAGTCCCTCCTAGGGTTTGGGGTGTAGGGTTCAACATGCAGGATTTCCAGGTATAGGGGTTAGGGGTTCAGGGTCGAGGGGCTTAGGTTTTAGGACTTTAGGTTTACAGTAGAAGCCCAAAAGTTGGAAACCCCATAGCCTCAATCCTTAAGAGGAATGTATAGGGAATCCCAGCACTATTTGGCCTTAACCTGGTTTCCAACTTTATGGGGTCTAGTGTAGGGTTTTCGGTGGATTTTGGATCCTAAACCCTAAACTCCTAAACCCGAAACCCTAAACACCTAATCCCTAAACCCAAAGCCTATGGTACGAGTCCCGGAGTCCCTCCGGCTCGAGGCAGTGGCTTCTCGAAGCCTTGCTAAGCACCGCCAGGTCCAAGGCCAGAGGGCTCCGGGCTTTTCTGGTTTGTGAGTAGAGTGGGTTTCTGTCAGGGTTCTTTACAAGACTGTCGATGATCACGACAACAAACACCGTTGCATGTGGTATCTGCAGATTACGGTTGATGAGGCAATGTTTACCTTTCTGTCCAGGCCTGCCTCAGCAATTTAGGGCCAAGCCCCGGCTGGCATTGCGCGCAAAAGTCTTCTTGGGAACTCCAGTCATGTCTTTTTGCTAGCGTTCTGAGCCCCTCAAACCCGATGCAGCAATCCCCCCGAAAAACCTGTAAGCCTGAATCCCTCATAGATGGGCCGAAATAAAGGTTTCTTATCTACACGCCCTGATCAGGCTCCCGTTGCTTGCAGTTCCGTGTCCCCGGGTTTCTGAAGCATCCGCATCAAGGGTAGAAATAGGGAACAAGCACTGAAGGGGATCTGATTTCTTGGAAGTCTGTTTGCCAGGTTGCTGCTTGCAAAGAGCACGAGGAGAACGGCGCAGAGTCTGCGGAGATAGAAAAAGAGGCACGCTTGGTAATCGCATTCCGAGCAGAGGGAAGACTGGGTGCTCAGTAGTACCTTTTTGCGGGGTCCCCTTATCAGAAGTTAATACCATGATAAAGGGTACCCTGAGGGGACACTGAGGAACGAGGAAAAAGATGGCCGTTCGAGCCCTGGCTAAAGTAACTTCGAGGCCTCTGCCACAAGGCTTAGATTTGTTTTTTGGTGGTTGAAGGAAGGGTTACGGGTGGAGGGCACGCAGCCGAAAGAAGTAAATGCACGTGGAACATGTGTCATATCTGTGTAACCCTAAACTATGATTCCCACAGTTTCCGTCACAAGATCCGGCTTAGACAGGGCGATTCGTGTGCTTGAAATGCCGTACTCTAAACCCTTAACCCTAGACTCTAAGCCCTGAACAGCTGAATCGGTCGGGATCAACAGTTGAAACAGCCGCCAAGTGCCCAATTAAGGCAAGCGCGGGGGTTTAGGGTTTAGGGTATACTTAAGTACATACTGACTCTGAGGCTATGGTTACTGCTACTTTGTTGATCCGTCGTCTCGCCTAGTGGCGTGGGCCGTAGAGTAAGGCCTGCTTGGAGGGGCAGGGGACTTAGCAAGTCGTTTATAAGTAGGTTATAATTGGGGGGGGTAACTCCATTTAGGGTACTTATGACTCTACTTATAACCTACTTACTAACTCCCCTGCCCCTCCAAGTGTCTCATGGAAATCTGGAGAGTTCAAAGGTGCTTTCAGCGCTGGACATGGCCAGCGCCTCAGAGAAAGAGCTGACAGCAGACGTTTGCGATGGGCAACTGCTTACTTGCTTTAGGGTCTAGGATTCTCTTGCAAAAGACACCCCCAAGGGGTTGACATTTGGAGACATTACCCCTAGGATTATCATACAAAAGACAACCCGAAGGGGTTGAAATTTGGGGAAATTACCCTGCTTGTCTGCATTGACGTACATGATTGCCATCCTCATCTCAAACAATCTTGAAGCGGGTGTGGCAAAAGAACACGTTCGGCATGGAATTGATGACCTAGCTCCCAGGCATTAAGGGATCAGTCTTTACGAGACTGATGCTCACTCGAAAATTGTTTCTGCAGGACCGATGAGGAAGCACTAGAGTTACTAGGTTACTTGTATGAATTTAGCCAGTAAGTTTGACACAAAAAGCTGCTCAATAGCTTGCCTGAAGCCCGGGTTTCCCAAACGACAGAGACCGGACCCTGCGGCCTCCACAAGAGGCCGACTGCAGGCCAGCACGAACTAGGAAAGGAAGGACCTACCACACCTAAAGGACAAAAAAAACCTAGCTGAGGCCTATAGTCCCAGTGTGTATCTACATGGACCCGTATACGCTAAACCCCAAACCTCCTGCGAAGGCTGATAATTATGATCAAGGATCCTTTCGGGGTGCAGGGACCGTTAGGGTATATTACTCAAGCACCAGCCCATCAGCTTAGGCGCGGGAAGCCGTGGTCATGTCCAGGAGGACATGGCTTTGCGTGTGTCGGTGCTTGGGGCCTAATGCCTATAGTAACGACACCAAAATGTTGCGGTGCTGATACTAGTGAGAATCACCCATGTTACGAAGCATAAGCAATACTGACAATATGAGCTTATGGTTCGAGCATGGGTTGTGGGACTGGTAGGGTTTGCCATGGCTTCCCGCGCGGTCTTCTTGGTTTATGCTTGATTTCAGAAGGGGCTTAGCAAGGCCGTTGGCGGTTTATTTAGAAGTTGAAGGCTTTGGCAGTTCATGTTACAGGATTGCTGGGTTCACCCGGTTCCTTGAGGGAACTGCGGCCAGTACTTCGCAGCGCTTGTCGACTCGTATTCCTTACAGAGGCCCCGAAGGCAGGTCAGCTACCCACACCATGCCCTGAACATTCTGCATAACAACATGATGTCCAGTTGTCACATCTACTTCCGTGGACAAAGTGAGCTTTCACATGTGACTGTCGCCAGAGGGCCAGGACAGGAATTGCGAGAGCGGGGACGAAATTCGGTGCATTCGCACTGCATGCCCAGAGAGCCCAATACCCCTCAGTTAAGGAATATAGCTTAAATCATAATATGAAGCCCTATATAATTCAAGCCATATTCCTTTATTAAGGGGTATTGGGCTCTCTGGGTGCTGCTGACGCGGCATCCGACATTATTTGTCGTCTTCTCGCTGTTCTGCTTCTCGGCGACCAAGACGATGCGGGTTATGAGGGCACAAGATAGACAGGCAACAACTAAGAGTACGCAGAGACCCAAACTTACGATCGAGGAGAGATCGTGTCTCCAAATGGGAGGTCAAAATGACCGACTTCGGATTGAACACAAGATAGCCATAGGTTGCGAGCACCCTCTGAGCCTCGGGCGGTCCGAACTTAACCAAGCCTCGCACTATCATAGCCTATGAGAGTCTTATGTCTTGGCTGCAGGCATCGCTTCCAAGAAGACCCTGCAACCATTGTAGCAGGCTATAGTAACTGAGGTCTGCATAACGGTAAGACTATCCCGTTATATAACCCATCGATAATCATACTATGATATGACCCGGAATCCGTCTCTAGCTACTGATACTGAGACCCCTACAGTAGCTTGTAGCCCTTCTATGACCACTTTTATACTCGAATATACCCCAGAACCCCTTCTACCTACGAAGGCATTAAGGCCACTACAGCTTCTTCAGCGAATCCCTACTAAGCATCCCCGGAGGATGAATGACGCGCAGTCACTCATCTTTTGCCAGCACACGGAAGTTGAGGCAAAGGATTTGATCGGGTTTGTTGCACTTGTCTTTCTGGAGGGTGGATGGATTGTGGCTGTGGTCCGTCTTGGAGCTATGGCTAGGGCAAGCATCTTTCTGGTGGAATCTCGGGCTGGGGTGGGCGAATTTGGGTTCACTGCGGAGGTTGCTGACTTACTTCGGAGATCATGTGACCTAATTCCATTGATGGGTGAACCCTGAACCCTGAAACCCCACATGATGCAGGTTGAGGCGCTCAAGAAAGTCATGCAGGTAAAACAAATGGTTACAGTAATGTTCTGAGTTGCCCGACTGGGCCGGCCGTGCTTCTACCTTTGCTGTTCGCTTGTTTGCCACGTCCACCGTTTTCTAGATGAAGCCCTGCCTCAAATCCACACAGTGAGGCTGAAAGCCTAAACCCCGGTCCGTCAGTTTCAATCCCTGAGTTCCGAAAGCTATCAACTGTACGTTTCAACCACTGCAGCACGTGGAATGGGGCTTAGGCGTGAGACGCATAAAGTCGAGGGTTGAGCTGACTTGTTGAGGTTTGAGTAGGGGCTGTGGGGGTTTAGGGCTGCTTAGGATCGCAGCTTCCCTTAAATCTAAGTACTAGGGGTATGTTTAGAGTTGCATCAGAGTGCATCGGACGGCAGAGTCAATGGGTGCTATCATGGTACTGCATAACTCGGGTCATAAGCACAGCACTCAGCTTGCTCGCTCAACTTGCTCGGCCACTCTACGGGAGATAAGTAACTGTCACCTACCTGCTATGTCCCACTGCGGCTCGCAGTGCCTTCTCTCATCATCGTCCGTCCAATAAAATACTTCAACTTTACCTAAAGCTTCTGAAATCCCTTTGCATGAATCCTGGGCTAACTTCAGCTCACCGGAACTTGAATCATAGGATACCTGAAGTACAGAGACCCACCTCCGCCTCCAGACCCGATTTCTGAGACTTACCAGGTCCTGGTTGCAATGAACCAGTTTGACGCCCCTGGTCTGAAGAGTATACTGTGGCCTTGCATTCGAGACCTTAGCCCCGAAACACCCCCAAATCCTAAACCCGAAGACTAAGGCCTTAAACCCCAGGAGCCTGAACCTTCAAAGTTGTTCCCTGAATCCCAAGCCCCTGAAAACATTCAACCATCAAAACGTAGATAGGGGTATAGCTGGAACAGGGCTCCTTTAAGTTTAAGGCTTCTATACGTGTTTTATATAGTGTTCAAGCATTGGGTCCCAAGGAGTTTGATAGTGGTTAATTCGGTTGGCTTGTTGGAGAGTAGACCGTGTGCTTAGTAGGCACATAAGACCTTAGAGTTGGCACAGGGAAAGGGGATATTGTGGCTACTCAACAAGGTAGGTTGTGTGGGCTCGAGGTCGGGCATCGAAAACAAAAACATGGGTGATGCGTTGAGGGTATGTGTTACATAACCCTAAACCCTAAACCCTAAACCCTAGAGTTGCCGTGACCATTGGATCAGTGTCCTCGGGCCCGAGAGCTTCTAGACCAAGAGCCGCTACACCTCCAACCCCGAATTCGCATCCTTCGATACCTGGGAGTTTCCGAAAATAGGGGACCTTAATATAGTACCCTTATTAGATAGTAGGATCCTTATTATGAGGATCCCAAAATAAGGTACCCCCAATTTTCAGAAACTCTCACCTCGCGTTTAGGGTTTAGAGGTTCAGGGCTGAGCGTCTCGCGATGGGAGATAGCATGGACGTCGTGTACATCAAACACAAGTCCGAGCTAATCCCGGAGCTGTTTCTTCTAGGTCTGCTGACACGGCGTAATTGCTTTTTGAAGGGCATCTTAATCTACGAGTGGCCCTTCCCTTGTTGTTGACTACTCCTTCGGATGAGCAAAGCCTGACATGTCCATGTAGTACCACTTGACGTGCAGGACAGCGCACGAAGCCACCTTACTCCGCAGCACCGGGGAAAGGAAAGACAACCTTGGAGGTATTGGTGGAAGTCAATACTGAAGCGCTCAACCGAGGCTCAACCCCAAGCCGCAACTCCTCTAAACCCTGGGCACCCTGAGCAGTTTTCGCGCCCTAAACCAAGAAGCCCTCGGACTCTAAGCAAGCTTAGACTGTGTGATTCTTAGTGGGGAATGGGGGAATGGATCCCTACAATAAGGGTCCCTTATAGTAGTCCCTAAAACCCATTCCCCCATTCCCTACGAAGAACCAGCAGATGAAGCCCCTAAACCCTAAACCTTCATAATCCCAAACCCTAAACCCTAACCCCCCACCCCCAGCCCCACATTCAACCCACCCATAAAACCCCCTAATAGCCAATAGTAACCCTTGAAGCAATCTTAGAGCCCAAAGCTTCGACATAGAACCCTGTTACAGATCCCTTATAGAAACCTTTACAGGAACGCTATTCTAATTATTACTATAAGGCCCCCTTAATCAGCAAGCTTAGTTAGACCCAGAGATCCCAATACCCCTGAATTCAGGAATATGGCTTGAATCATAAAATGAAGCCCTATATGATTTAAGCCATATTCTTTAATTAAGGGGTATTGGGCTCTCTGGGCGCCCAAAGCTTCGATGCTCCCAGGAAGCGATGGATGTCTTGAAGGAGGCTGTCGCTCTCAGCCAAGAGCAGCCGGTACCTCAGAGACTGAAAGGCGCCTCAGGGAGTCTAGGGTTTAGAGTCTTCAAGGTCTATACTTGGAGGGTCGGGGGACTTAGTAACTGGTTATTTTTGGGACTTATAAGAACCATAACCCCAATTAGGGTCCCTTTTAGGGTACTTTTAAGTCTACTTACTACCTACTTACTAAGTCCCCCGACCCTCCAAGTAGGGTTTAGAGTCTTCAAGGTCTATAGGGTTGATGCTGAAGGTATATAAGGCTCAGGGTATTTAGGGTTTCGGGTTAGGGGTTAGGGCATTTAAGGTTTAGGGTTGAGGGTTGAGGGTTCAAGAGTATCCTATATTAAGGCCTACGAAATCTCCCACAAAGAGTCTCGCTACCCCAGAGACTGGAGGCACCTGCGGGGAGACTTTTTCTGGGAGCTTGCGTAGGCCTTAACATAAGATACTCCTGAACCCTAAACCCTAAACTCCCGAAGCAATGAGCCCTACCCAGAGGCCCCAAAGTAGTTCCTTTTTGGGTAGTATATTAGAGTCCCTCATCAAAAAAGAGGGCACACCCAAAAAGGAACTACTTTGGGGCCCCTGGGTAAGTCCAAGCAAGAAGAACTCGTAGTGGACAGTGTCAGTAGCTCCTCTTTGGGATTACCTTATGGTAAATATGAACCACAAAAAGGAACTACTACGGGGCCTTAGGGTAGGCCCTAAACCCTAAACCCTAAACCCTAAACCCATAGGGAGTAGCTGGGGTTTATGACCGAGGCAGCTGCTGCGAGAGGAGGGACGGCTGACCAGCGATGTGGCGCCTCGGCTCTAGGTGTTCTGTGGAGATTGGGGTTTAGGGTTTAGGGTCGAGGGGGTTTAGGGATTAGGGTTTAGGGATTCGGGGGGTCTTTGGTTGAGGGGTTTAGGTTTTTGGGTTGAGGGCTTAAGGTTTGGTTTGTAGAATTGTTGATGGAATAGTTTGTGCTTTTGGTGTTCCACGGGTCTGGGGATTGAAAGGCGTAGGTTTTCGGACGAGTGTAGTAGCCCTCACGCCAGGTGTTGTTGCAAAAAGTTGTGCTGTAGAGCACGGGTAAAGTTAGGAGTTTGGGGTGGGGCATGTGACAGCTGTTGCATGCTTGCTTTGGATGCTGCTACTCTTCTTCGTGTATGTATATATATATATATATATATATAATATATATATATATATGTGTTCGGTGTACGTAGACATAGAAGAGCGATTAACTAAATATGTGGTTCACATCTGTGTAATTAACATGGACGTAGGTACATACGGACGAACATGTAACATGTTGATGTCGTTGTTGAAGGTTCTCTGAACAGCACTCATATACTCACTTTTGCACAGGGTGCCCAACCTCGTCATCAGAAGACAAACGGAACTTACAGTACACCCCATAAAGTTGGAAGCCGGATTAAGGCCAAATAGTGCTGGATTTCCCTATACATTAGCCTTAAGGATTGAGGCTATTTGGTTTCCAACTTTTAGCTTCTACTGTAAAGGAACCCCAGTCTAGAGAACCCCTAACAAGTCCTCCTCGCTTCGAGCCGGCAGCCAGGGGCCCCTTCTTGAAGCCTTAGTTTAGGGACCCCAAAAGCACATAAGCATAATAATTTTATAGGGATGTCCCTGCCTTGTTGGGCTCAATTTCAGGGGTTTATGTAGGACATCCCTATCCCAATTTTTGCTTATGTGCCTTGTGGGGGGGTCTATTATTGTAGTTCTAATACAATGGGCCCCAAAACCCTACTCTAAATATTTTTGGCCCTATATTAGGGCGCCTCAGGCGCAAGTTTACATTTGCCAGAAGAACTGGAAAATGGCGACGCACTGCGCCAACAAGGCTTCCAGCGTCCGCTAAAGCCCGACAGTGCCTAATTTCGACTGCAGGGCCGTCATGCTTCGGATTAAGTATGCAGGTTTCCAGTTTTATTGAAGGAACTAGGCGTTTTGAGTGTTGAGAGCTGTTTTGGGACAGACAGAGGGACTGCAGCGCGTCAAGCCTGGGGCTGAACTGCTTTCAGGTTTGCGCTGTGCAGTTCGCGAGTGAGGGTTTAGGGTTTAGGGTTTTCAGGGATTACGAGATCGGTTGATTGAATTGTGCATTGGAGGGCTCATAATCTGCGAGTCCTGCGCTCCATTTTTGCTTTCACGACACAGCCTCAAAATGAACTTAACAGTTGTCTAGTTCTCAACGTCGATCTGAGAGCTTCGCTCCACCATCTAGCCTACAATCCAAACCCGAAAGCCAACACCCAAAGCGTACCGACAGACAGCCCCAAGCACTAGGAAAACCCAAACCCTCACCGCATGCCAGGCAATGGAAATGGCCGAAGCAGTCGGGACCCCGGTGGTGCAGAAGCGCCGAAAGATGCAGCAGATACAGCTGAGAGATGGTGTCTAAGCTTAGGTGGAGACTGTCGGGACCTTTGGTTTCGACGGACTGTGTGTGCTTCTATGTCCATTCCTACATTTCTTCCTGTCCCTGTGGTCATTGCATTGTGTTAAATCTTAAGCCACAACCAAGCAATCTTTTCAACGAGTTCCGCAAGCCTTGGCCGTAAGCCCCTGTGCGGATCTTCTTCCGGGTGTGTGAGTCGGGTGGTTTGGCTGAGTCATTGGGGTCTCAGTCAGTGTAGCTGTTATTCTGATGCCCAGGCCGGCGACCACGACGGCGAGGTACGAATTGTGAGGAAATCAGATCAACTGTGCAAGTTCCCGTGGTTCCCTAAACCCTGAGCCCTGAATTAAGGCTTCGGGTTTCGGGCACCGGGTTCAAAACAGAAGCCCAAGACCCAAGACCCTGTGGAAGAGGACGTGAAGCAGAACCCTTGCTAAGCAAAAGTCTGTTGAAGATGCAATGATTTGGTTTAGGGGCTTATAGGGGTTGAAAGTAAGAGTCTTGGGTTGCGGGCTTTTGGTTTAAGAGCCTAGGGTTTAGTGTATCATTTTTCGTGAGCTTATCTGATTCCTTGGACGTGTCCAGAAATCTGTCGCAATCCTGTAAATTACCTGCCAGGAACAAAGTGTGAATGCAAATCCATATAACTGCATGTGTCTTATGCACCCCGAAGATCAGTATGTATGCACATACTCCTACATTGAGCGGTTTCACAGTTCATTTATTGAGCATACAGCATATGTACGTAGATACGTACGTACATACATACATACGTACATACATACATTCTTGCATGCATGCATGCACGCATCCATCTGCGCATCCATCCATGCATCCATGCATCCATATATGTACATACATATATACACACGCACCAATACAAGCACATGTTTATAGCATAGATACTCGCAAACAGTTCGGTTCCCAGAGGAACAACAAAGCCTGAAGTGCTACAGCGAATTTCATTTGCTTTGGAGGTTTTTGCCGTGAAGCTTCTCCGCCACATTGAGAACGAGATGGCGCGCTGTGAACCAGTTCACAGTATGTCACAGTTGTCTGAATTGCTGAGTCTGGGATCCAGGTCCACGGGTTTAGCTTCGAGGGCCCAGAGAGCCCAATACCCCTTAATCAAGGAATATAGCTTAAATCACGATATGAAGCCCTACATAATGTAAGCTATATTCCTTAATTAAGGGGTATTGGGCTCTCTGGGGGGGTTGTTCTGAAACTTACCCCTCATGCAGCTCGAGTCGAGGAGCATACATGGGTGGTTCAAAATTATGGTCCTTTTCTGGGTCCTTATCTTAATACGGCACCTAATATTTAGGGTACCCAAAAAGGGACCCTAATTTTGACAACCACCCGCATAATACTTGTAGTTGGCATGCTTCTGGAAATGGCTTTTGGGGTTCGGTACTTTAGAGTACTAGCAACAACAAGGAGAGTCTGCTTTTGCTCACGGAGGTGCTGCAGACTCTGAGTAGGACATGATTGCCATGTGGGTGGTTGTCAGAACTAGGGTCCCTCTGGGGGTACCCTAAATAATAGGTGCCGTACTATGTTAGGGACCCCCAAAAAAGGACCATAATTTTGACACCCACCCATGTCCTCAACAAACCCCGGAGCCCTAAGCTCTCTTGGGTCCAACAGTCAGGATTTGAGACAGCGAGACCCAGAAATGCCGAAATCTTGCGTCTTGACTAGTATATATATATATATATATATATATATATAGACTTAGAAGCGTTAAAACCCAGCTCTTGTCTGCAATAACAACAACTCTCATCGTTGTGGTATGGGAGTGCCTCAAGCTTTCTCGACGAGCAACTGTTGCGCTGTTAGCCCTGTTACCCGGCCCACAACAGCTTCTTCGACTTGGGTGGTTGTCAAAATTATGGTCCTTTTTGGGGTCCTTGTCTTTATACGGCACCTAATATTTAGGGTACCCAAAAGGGACCCTAGTTTCAACAACCACCCACTTGTATCGAGTGGGTCTAAACTAGGAACAGACCAGCCCCATGTATTCCGTAGTGAAGCTCTTCCTCACAAGGAGGTTCGAACAGTTTAGGACCCTCGCAGCTGCTGGTCTGCCATGTACTCAGGAAGGAGTTTGGCGCAGACGCCGAACGCACACCGCCCAAGCTGGGCTGAACCGACGGCCGCAACCCAGAAGAACTCCGAGAGGATGCTACCTTCTCCGAATGCTGGGAGAATGACTTAACAGAAGGATAGGATTTCGGAGAGCAAACAGCACCTTCGGAGGCTTCGACTGACGCCGGAGCTTGCATCATGCTCAACTCAATTTGCTAGTTGCCGAACACGTAAATCCTTAAACCTCTGAGCCCTTATTTCCTGAACCCTCTCTATCTTACAAGCCCTTACGCAAACCCTAAACCCCAAAACCCTAAAGCCCTCACAACCCCGAACCTTAGATCCTCCCCCGGGAACCCCAAACCCTTAGCCTTAAACTCTGCGTCCTACTGCTGATGGACAAAATCCTGCATCACGCATTATAAGGATTATACCATAGTTCCCGTGGTTTAGAGTCCTTAGGGTCCTGCAGGATTTTGTCCATCAGCAGTATGAGTCCTAAACCCTACAAACCCCTCAAACCCTGAACGCTGAGACCCTGAATCCTTTAAACTCCTAAATCCTAACACCCTTTGTGCTAAACCTCCAAATCCCTACCTCCGAAAACCTACAGCCTTAATCCTAAACTCCTAAATCCTTACATCCCTAAACCCCAAAATCCTTACATCCCTAAACCCCTAAATCCCTACATCCCTAAACCCCTAAATCCTTACATCCCTAAACCCCCAAAATCCTTACATCCCTAAACCCCTAAATCCCTACATCCCTAAACCCCTAAATCCTTACATCCCTAAACCCCCTAAATCCTTACATCCCCAATCCCTAAATTCCTTACATCCCTAAACCCCCTAAATCCCTACATCCCCAACCCCTAAATTCCTTACATCCCTAACCCCTAAATCCCTACATCCTTACATCCCCAACCCCCAAATTCCTACATCCCTAACCCCTAAATCCCTACATCCCTAACCCCTAATCCCTAAATTCCTACATCCCTAACCCCTAAATCCCTACATCCCTAACCCCTAACCCCTAAATTCCTACATCCCTAACCCCTAAATCCCTACATCCCTAACCCCTAAATCCCTACATCCCTAACCCCCTAACCCCTAAATCCCTACATCCTAAACCCTAAACCCTAAACCCTAAACCCTAAAACCTAAACCCTAAAACCTAAAACCTAAACCTGTTTGCAGGGTGGGAAGAGGAAGGCCCCAGAGCAAGCAGCCGCCGCGCCAGCCGCCGAGGTTCGCGGACTGGGGTTGCTGGGATCAGGTTAAAGGGTTTAGGGGTTTAGGGTTTAGGGTTTATAGAAATTGTATAGGGTTTAGGTCCGAGGTTTTGGGCGGGTTTTGGCGGGTTTTGCTGCCGCCTGCCTCCCCGATAAAACTTGCCTTGTTAGAAGAGCTTTACGACACTTCATACAGGTGCTTTGCAAGGAAGTTCTGAAAGGTTGGAGAGCTTTACGACCCTTCATATAGGCGAAACAAACTGCTTTTGATGAGTTTTGAAGAGGTGGAAAGCTTTATCATCCTTCATATAGCTGGAACAAACTCCTGTTGATAGGTTTCGCAAAGCTCTACAACCCTTCATTTCGGTGCAACAGGTTGGCAGGCTATACAATTTCTATTTATCCTGGTCTTGAGGGGTTTAGGGTTTAGGGTTCAGGGTTTCGGGGTTTAGGGTTTAGGGGTTTGGGGTTTTGGGGGTTTAGGGTTTAGGGGTTTAGGGTTTTGGGGTTTAGGGTTTAGGGCTTAAAGGTTTGTTTGAGTTGCATGCCTGAAAGTTTGGGGGCTCTTTGCCTCACGATGTTGAGGTGGACTACTGAATGTTAGATTAAGGGGGCACTGGGCTGAACTGAATTCTTTGCATGCGGGCCGCACGGCCAAGCTTTGCCACTTTGCAGGCCGCACCCGCGCCCGAAGCTGCACCCGCAGCGGCCATGGCCTCGGAAATATCGATGTTGACAGACATCCGAACTGCAGGGCTTTAAGGTTTATAGGGTTTAGGGTTTACAGGGTTTAGGGTTTACAGGGTTTAGGGTTTAGGGGGGTTTACAGGGTTTGAGACATCTTTCTGCCTCTTCTGAGGATGCTTTGGTTGGTTTGGATGGTGTCTGTCTCAGCCACAAGTGTGTGAAGGCGTCCCGCACAGCGCTGGCACCTGGGGCTGTGGAGTTCAGACGGGAGAGTGGGTTGACTACAAACCCCACGTGCAAAACCCTACTACGTCCTACATCTTTCCGCAGCATCGAAGATGAGGAAGAAGAAATGCCGAAACCCTAAACCCTGCTACGTCCTACCCCCTCCTGCAGCATCGAAGCTTAGGAGGATGAGATGCCGGCCACCTACAACGGGCCGACGTCGGATGCGTTGGCAGACCGACTCCAGGCCGTTGGTGTGGGCCTTGAGGTCATGAAGGAGCTCTTTATAGTAACCCTTATAGACGCCTTTAAAAGGTACCCTTTAAAGGAACCCTATTCTAATTATTAAGGCCCTACACCAAACCCCCCATAATACCCCTTATAGTAACCCTTATAGACCCCTTTAAACGGTACCCTTTAAAGGAAGCCTATTTTTAATTATTAAGACTCATGCAGGTTTAGCAGTAGGGCCTTAGGTACTGGGATAGGGCTTGGGGTATGTTCAGGTATGTAGGGACTACGAGGGATATTGAAAAATGATTTTAGGGTTTAGGGTTTAGGGTTCTTAGTAGCTAATCCGACCTCTATCTTACATCTGATGGAGACCAAGCCCTAAACCCCAAATGCCGAACCCTTCATGCTTGCCCTAGACTCTGAATCCGAAAGCCAGAAACTCCTAAACTCTGATTTTCAAGCCTGTCCCGACACCTCACTTCAAAACTCAAGCCAGCCCGCAGCAGGCCCTAAACCCTCAAATCCCTAAATTGGCCAAAGACCTCCAAAACCCTAAACCCAAAACCCACCTCAACAACCCTAAAAACCAAAAGTCCCCAAAACCCCTGAAGCCTCAAACCTGGCAGGGCATGGTGATGGACATGTTCGATGCAGACGAGCTTCAAAATGCAAAGCCCCCGGAGTGCCATGTGCCATGTTGGGAGGGGGGGGACGTCCTTTATGATACACTCTAAAATCATAAATGAACCCTAATCCCGGACCCCGACCCACAAACCCCAAACCCAGCCTTAACCCGGAATAACCTACCCTTTTAAGGACTTATATAAGGAAATCATAGTAAGCAACCCTAACAAGGTAGGTTATTCAGGGTTAAGCTATGACGAAGGGTTCCGGTAAGGGCGAGGGTTAAGCTTCAGCGGCTTATCATGCTTCCTGTAGCTGTACTGCCGCGGGTTAGGATTTAGGTTGGGGGTATAGGTCTTGGGTGGGCTGGGTTTAAGGATTTTAGGGTTTAAGGGTTTAGGGTTTAAGGATTCTAGGGTTTAGAGCTTAAGGGTTTAGGCGAAACGGTTTCTGTTTAAGGATTTGAGGGTTTTGGGCTTCGGGTTTAAGATGCAGACCGGTCAAGCTTTCGACGATGCTGCGGAATATGGTGCAAGGACGACAGACCCTGACTAACCGCTTGGGGAGGGTGGAGGAGGTAAGGAGGTCAGCGAAATCTTCCCCAGGACTTGGATGGGTGGACAGAGCTGCACCGGACCGGTGGTACGTCTGCTTATGAAGGCTACCATTACCTTTTCGTTTCTCAAAAAAGGGTCCTTTCAAGCCTTGAAGCCGCAGTCCCAGGTGCACCCTCCCAGCCCCCTATCCCGAACAGCAGTCGGGTAAGCAGTCTTGAACGTTTCGCGGTGGGTGTATAATCCTGAAGGAATCCCTGAACATGTTGATCTTTACCTAGACCCTCAACAAACCCATTTCCTTAACGACTTACAAAAGGAAATCATGGTAGGGAACCCTAGCAAGGAAGGTTTTGCGGTACCTCCTAAGAGGCCGGAGAAGGAAGCTCCCCTGCTTGTCAGCATGAGAAAACCGCTCTACCTGCGATAACTCCAGTGGGAGTTTCCGAAACTATCGTTGATGATATAAATTTTGCATTACCTTAAGGACCCTAAACTATGAGAGTTATGGTATATTCCTTATTACGGGTCATGCAGGATTTATATCATCAACCGTAGGGGGCCCTAACATAGTACCCTAAATCGCAGGATCCTTCTTAAAGGATCCCAAAATAGGGTACCCCTGATTTTCGGAAACTCTCCTATGGGACGGGAGGACGGGAGAAGAGTCTGACACTGTGGGGCTCGGAAGTTGCACTGTATCCCAAGCGCACCCGGCAGAATGCGTTTGAGATTTTGCTACTTGCCACAAGTAAGGAGCCCACATTGCTCAGGCATGTATGGCTTTGGGCTCCCTTTCAAACCCATGAGCCCCAAGCCCAAGCCCTCGTCACAGCCACGGTCCCAAGGACACCATGCTCCCCTGAACCCTGAAACCCCAAACTGCCGAGAGCCATTTGCATGGCCCTGCCCTTGCGCTTGCCCTTGCTCATGCCGCTGCCCTGCCCTGCCCTGCCTGCCAGCCCGCCCCGAAAGTCAGGGCAATTTGTTCGTAGAAAGTGCATTTTGGGTTCGGGCCGACCTGCTCTCTTGAGCCTCCTCAGCCCTTCAAGGCTCCTTCGAGCAACCCCGACAGCCAGAATAATCAAAACTCATTATTTACTTTAGATCCCTATTATGGTAATTCAAATTAAGCCGCATTACCCCTAAACCTCTTTCTTCTCGTCGGGCGGCCGGCACAGGCCGCGAGGACCTACAACCCCACACAAATCCATCTCAGCTGTGGTTTGCAATGGAATCTGATCATTTAATGAAGGAAGCAAAAGAGCAAGAAAACCCCCCTTTGAGGGGGGCTTGGGGGTGAAGCCCAAACCCTAATTGAGAATAGTTGGGGCGGTTGGGGCGGGACTACATGCTGACACACTATATTCCTAGAGTAAAAGGCGCACCCACCGCACGCACACTGTATACGCACACTCTAAGCCCTAAACCCTAAACCTCTAAACCCTAAACCCTAAATCCTAAACCGCAAACCCTAAACCCCGAACCCCTAAACCCTAAACCCTACACGGTCCCAAGGACACCATGCTCATGGACATTGGTATCGACAGCCTCTCCATGCTGGACTTCCATGCCCGGATCCAGAGGGTCCGCCGCAGCCAGTTTCAGCACGAAAGCTCCTTGTGAACATGTGTTTGCCTCAAGAAAGAGGGCTACAGTATACGTGAAGTTTCAGGTCTCGCCTCTTAGATTTCGGGCTCCGGGCTGCAGCAAGCTTCGGAAACGTGTAGGGCTTTTGGCGTTTTCCGTCGGCGGAGCATTGAAACGCTGTGGCTACGAAGACCAAGCAGATGCTGCTCTCTCTAGACGTTTGAAGTTGCGCGGTTTCGGGGTTCAGTGTCCACGGCCTTCAGGTTTCATGGCCTGAGGCAAGATGAACTCAATACTCAGAACACGAAGCCGCCAGGTAGGAAGATGATAACGGCGGTGGTGGGGTTGGGTTACTTAAAGGATCATGGGACTTAGTAAGTAAGGTTATAAGTATCTTAATTGGGGTTATTATAAGTAGTTATAAGTATAGGTACCCTAATGATAACCCTAGTTACTAAGTCCCATGATCCTCGAAGTAGGGTTTAGCGAAGTGAGGCTTGGTTCCCTGCAAGCCCCGAGATCCTCTCTGCTGTGCCAAGGCTTTAGGGTGCGTCCAGGATCTACGCATGCTAGAAAGCCACATGTCACGAGTGTGAAGAAACTTCAAGAGACAGCCTCCGACTTTCCAGAAGCCCCGAACGCCGCTCGACATTGTACATACTCTCTTACGGACATAGAATATGCATACGTATATGCATATGTGCATACATATACTTATATATATATATATACACATATGTGGCATGGACCTTTAGGGTCTATTTGGCAATCCTGCTGGGCTTTGTACTTAAACTGCAAGAACACCACGGCGACAAGGACGACGACGACTCGGTTTAGCACGACGACGACTGGGTTCAGCACGGCGACGACAAGGTCTGGCACGACGGTTACATCGGGAGGCCGAAGCGTGTACAGTGTAAAGGTCTCGACAGGAGTTTACGGGTCTAGGGTCTTAGCTCCTAACTATGGTTTACCGGGGTCAGTATACTATGGAAGATCTAAGGTTTGGAGTTTATGAGGATTTAGATGGTTTTACGCTCTCACAACTCGGGCATGCCAGGCGACGTTCTCCGTGCTGGTTTTAGGGTCTATCACAATGTCCTCCCGTCCCTCTCGCGCCGGGAACCATCAAGAATCTGTCTTGTGTATCACTCGTCCTGTTTCTTTCTCTCACCGTTCCTCTTCCTGCCTATCCACTCTGCCGTTTGTCAAGAAGACACAGAAATTGAAGTCATGACAGAGGAATAGGCATGAAGATGGACGAAGTGAACTCTTCATTCTCTCGTCTCTCCCTTCTCTCCTTCCTTTGATTGATCCTTTTTCTGTTTCTTTTCTTGTCGCCTTCTGCTTTCAATGACAGGGGTAACACGAGGGAGGTCTCGCTTCCGCCTCCCTCTCTCTCTCTCTCTCTCTCTCTCTCTCTCTCTTTCTCGCTCTGTCTTCCTCTCTGCCGTGTCTCGCTCTCTCATCTCTTCTGTCCCCTCTTTCCTTGCTCCGTTGCTGGAAGGAATCGAAAACAGAAGCGAAGACATAAGATGGAGGAAGATGGTTGGGAGAAGGAAGGTGGATTCCTCCCTCACTCGGCTCTTTGATTTTTTGGCCCTTGCCTTCTTTTCTCTGCTCCTATCCTTCTTCACAATTAGAAGGAGAAGCGACAAGAACGGAGAGCTCAGGGAGAGCAAGTGATACTGTTCCTCATAATCTCCTCCTTCCTCGTGTTCATTGCGTTGTCCATCTCCCCCTCGCTCTCTCTCTCTCTCTCTCTCTCTCTCTCTCTTTCTCTCTCTTTCTCTCTCTCTCTCTCTCTCTCTCGCTCTCTCTCTCTCTCCCTCCATCCTTTCCTCTCTACTTCTGCACATTTACTTTTCCACTTCTCTCGCCTGCTACATTGTGCTTGCTTTGATACTTATCTTTAACTTTCTCTCACTCTCTTTGTCCCATCGCTTGCCCTGTTCCTTCTCCTCCTCCCTTCCCTGCCTCCCGTCCTTCTCCCCTTATCACTCAGAAGGAAGAAGGAAGACTCACAAGGAGAAAGACAAGGGAGTAAGAAAACAGACAAAACAAACGGAGAGAGAATCCGAGAAAGGAGCCATAAGGGACGAAATACAGAAACAAAGAGAGAAACTAAGCGGGAAAGATAATCAAAAAGAGAGACAGAAAGAGGAGGCGATGCATAAAGCAGCCGACAGTGCCTTGACCTCCACGTCTATTCATTCTTTGTTCTTGTCCTATCACACTGTCTCATTGGTGATAAACCAGGAAGAGCTTGTGGAGGGAGACGAGGAAGAAGTGTTCTCCTCTTCACTCACCTTGTGCCCTTCCTCTCCCACCGCTCGCCCGCTCTCTTTCTTTCTGGTGGAAAAGTGGGAACCAGGAAGGAAAGTGGAGAAGGGAAAAGACGAGATTGAGAAATGAAAGAAAGAAGAGAGATACAGAGAGAGCGAGGGAGAGCTTCAAGCCCAGCAGAGGAAGAAGAGAGAGGAAGATAAGGGAAGGGGCAAGGGGTGGCCAGAAGAAGCGTAAGCCAAAGCTACGTATTGAAAGGGCGGAAGCCCCTTTCTCCTCTTCTTCCTCTTTGCTCTCTTATTTTTCTCTTAGCGCAGGGCATGCATGGAGCTAGGAAAGGGAAGGGGTCAAAGCGGATGAGAGAAAGTAACGGAGAGAGCTGTTCTTCGTCCCTTTCACCTCCTCCTCTCATTCTTCTGATGCTTACTCATGTCAGAAGGGTTTGGAAAGGAGTGAAGGCTAGGGCATGGACTGAAGCGAGGCAATAGGTGAAAGTGGATAAGAGAAAGTCATAGACAGAGAGTGCGGGAAGTCGAGTGCGAAAGAAAGAGAAACGAGGAAGACTAGGAAGAAGGACACAGAAGAGGAAGCCAGAGAGTACCAGTGTTGCCGTATCTCAAAGGATTCCGGGCCTCGCGAGGGCTTTGAGGAGGCTTGTAGGCGCCTTCAGACACTTCCACAACTTTCTGGAAGCCACCAACTTCCTCCCTAAGGGGGCCTCCCGAGGACATGAACACCAAACCGAGTATAAAGAAAGCAGGGGGATGTAGAGAAGCAGAGTGTGGTAAGAAGGAGCAAGGAGAATCAGTTCGCGTCTCCTCATCGTTTCCTTTTTGAATGACCAGAGGAAAGAAAAGGATAAGGAGGAAACTCTGCGAAGACATAAGGAAAGAAGAGCAGACAACAGAAAGGAAGCGGTAAGATGCGGGAAGACGGTTCGGAGAAGAAAGGAGAATTCCTCCTTCGCTCGCCTCTCTTACTTCCTTGCCCTTCGCCTTCTTCCTCTTCTCTTACCCTATTCATCTTCATAAGGAAGGAGAAATGAAAGAAACGGAGAGTTCAGGGCATGCAAAGGGCACTCTTCTCATCACCTCATCCATCCTCCTTTTCATTGTTCTCTCCAGATCCCTCTTTCTCCCTCCCTCCCTTCCCGTCTACTTCTGCACATTCCCTTTTCCGCTTCTCTCCGCCTATTATCTTCGCTTGGAAAGAATCGCTTGCCCCCTATTCCTTCTCCTCCTGCCTTTCCTGCCTCTCGTCGAAGAAGGACAATTCACAAGGAAGAAGACAAGGGAGTAAGAGAAAGACAACAGAAGCTGAGAGACAATCCGAGAAGGGCAGAAGAAGAACGAGAGCCATAAGGAAACAAACACAGAAACAAAGAGAGAAAGTAAGAGAGAAAGACCAGCAAAAACAGAGGCAGAGAGTGAGAGAGAGGAGGGGAGGGGAAGCGATGCAGAAAGCAGTCGAAAGTGCCTTGCTTGTCCTATCTCACCGTCCCATTGGTAAAAAAACCAGGAAGAGGTTGTGGAGGAAGACAAGGAAGAAGTGTTCTCGTCTTCACTCACCTTGTGCCCTTCTTCTCCCACCGCTCGGCCGCTCGACAGAAAGAAGAGAGTTGCGGAGAGGGCGAGAGAGAGCTTCAAGCCCAGCAGAGGAAGAAGAGAGAGGAAGATACGAGAAGTGTGGAGGAAGTGGCCAAAAGAAATGCTACGTAATGAAAGAGGGGAAACCAGTTTCTCCTCTGCTCTTCCTCTTTTCTCTCTTATTCTTCTCGGGCATGCATGGAGCCAGGAAAGGGAAGGGGTCAAAGCAGATGAGAGAAAGTAATGGAGAGAGCTGTTCTTCGTCCCTCTGACCTCCTCCTCTCATTTTACTCATATCAGAAGGGTCTGGAAAGGAGTGAAAGGTAGGGCATGGACTGAAGCGAGGGAATAGGTGAAAGTGGATAAGAAACAATGTTAGACAGCTTGCCGAAGGCGGCCAGCTCGCAGCTTGCCTGCGGCCTGGCCTGCTGAGCCTGGTGGGCTTTTGAAGGTGGGCAGGGGCCTGCTGAGATCCGCGGCCAGCACGCCAGGCTTGCTTTGAGGCAGGGCCAGCTGGGGAGCCTGGCCGGGCTGAGTGGGTTGGGTGAGTGAGTGGGGAGAGGGTGGAGAGGAACAGGGAGAAGAGGGTGGGTGGAGAGAGGAGGTAGAGGGAGCGAGGGGTGGGAAGAGGGAGGTAAAGGCAGGTAGAAAGGGGAGCAGAGTGAGATGGCAATCAAGAAGGGTTACGGGTGAATGAAGAAGCGCGGATGAGGGGAGGGCGGGTGGACAAAGGGAGGGGAAGAGGAGGGAGTGGGGAGATGGGTGGAGAGGTAGAGGGAGTGGAGGGTGGGTGCGTTCTTTGGATTGTATAGTCTAAGGGTTTTCTACAAAGGGTTCCATATCAGGGATCTGTACAGAGGATCTATAGATTTCTATAAGGAGTATATAAAGACTGTGTATGAGGGCTCCATATAATCGATCTTTCAAAGATTTTTTTATAAAGGACTCCATTTGTGGGAAACATAAGCGGTTCCTACAAATTCTTTATCTCGAGGATCTGTAAGGTTTACATATCTATGAAGCTTTTCTATATGGGCTCTATAGACCCCATAAGACAAATTAAAAAGTGATGAATGTGATAAGAAGATGATAAGAAGATGAGTGGATGGGAGAAAAAGTGATGGG